GTGGAAGTTGGACAATGTGGGAATTTGGGAATGTAGAAATTGGACAATGTGGGAATTTGTGAATGTGGAAATTGGACAATGTGGGGATATGGGAATGTGGAAGTTGGACAATGTGGAAATTTGGGAATGTAGAAATTGGACAATGTGGAAATTCAGAAATGTAGTAATTGGGCAATGTGGGAATTTGGGAATGTAGAAATTGATCAATGTGGAAATTTGGAAATGTAGAAATTGATCAATGTGGAAATTCAGAAATGTAGTAATTAGGCAATGTGAGAATTTGGGAATGTAGTAATTGGACAATGTGGGAATTCGGGAATGTAGAAATTGATCAATGTGAAAATTCAGAAATGTAGTAATTGAGCAATGTGGGAATTTGGGAATGTAGAAATTGATCAATGTGGAAATTCAGAAATGTAGAAATTGAACAATGTGGGAATTTGTAAATGTAAAAATTGGGAAAAGAGAGAATTTGGAAATGTAGAATTTGAGAACGTGAAGCTTGGAAAAGAAAATAGAAACAAGTTGATGAAAACACGATGACGAAAGTGGAAAGATTTCGTGAACGTATATATAGAATTTGAATCATCGGATAACATATACCTACGCAATGCACAATTTGTTTTTGGAAAGATTTAATTTATCGCTTTAACAGTGAAGTAACGTTTTCGATGTTCCTCTTCTGTTTGGATTTCGTCGGGTCGGATTGTCCTGACAAAACATGAGTCATCGTTACAATACATGGTGGACCAGGGGTCATAGAAAGTAGCCTAATAAAACAAACACAATAAATTACCTAAACCATTTAAGTGACTTAATATAAAGAAACCGATAACATTATTTAAACGTTATAATACCCTTCATTTAAATATTCAATAAATTTTATTTATTTAAATATTCAATGAATATTCAAGAAATATCTATTTCACGAAGGTTAAATAGTTGACTAAAACCTTGAGAACAAAGTATCATTGTTATCAGAAATGATGACATAATATTCATTATCAAAATTGTGCACTTTAAAGACAGGCTGTTTGTTAATCTCCGATAAGACAATGATTCGAAGAGTTATCGATCCACCATAGCAACAATTTTCGAGAGAACCTCAAACAATCGATATCTCCAATATTTTAGGACACTTATAACGCATAGAAATTACAGCACGTAGTTACAACCCATAGGTGACATAACGCGTTAAAAATATAACACACGGAGAGATTCATGGAGATTACCACGCGTGGCCATCTGACACGTACAAAATACAGCACATAAGGAATACAATGCGTGGAAAGTACAACACGTTGGGAATACAACGTGTGATGATCTAACTCTTAAGGTACTGGACGCATATCAATCTAACACGCGACCATACTACGCATAGCAATACAACATAGTTATTTTACGATACTAGTTTTGGTGGAGATGCGTGAAGTCTTTTACCTGTATAATTTCAAAACATTCCACACATGAGTAGTTTCAAGCATACTTCACATGAATGTACTAATGTACTGCATCGTTCTCATCATTCAATTGTACCATAACACATGTGCATGATTCAATTTCTTAATTTAAAGAAAAACTGCAAAAGACATTAATTAAATTTCACATCCCCTATTCGAGTTAATACAACATTTTGTATAAGTATTTTTTAACCAAGTCTGCATTACACATGTAATGTATGAACCATATTAACAGTCACACATATGATAAACACAGTAAAACAACCAATAGAAAAATAATTTAAAAAAGATTAAATTTTTGAAACTGCTCCCATGCTAACAAAAGTTCCTTCAAAAAGATCTAAAGCGAAATTGTACCATAACACATGTGCACGATTCAATTCCTTAATTTAAAGAAAAACTGCAAAAGACATTAATTAAATTTCACATCCCCTATTCGAGTTAATACAACATTTTGTATAAGTATTTTTTAATTAAGTCTGCATTACACATGTAATGTATGAACCATATTAACAGTTACACATATGACAAACACAGTAAAACAACCAATAGAAAAATAATTTAAAAATGATTAAATTTTTGAAGCTGCTCCCACGCTAACAAAAGTCCCTTCAAAAAAGTGAAATAAAGGTGCCAGGGGATGAAAATAAATGACGTCATAAAAAATAATGAAATTCGTCCACCTACCCCACCCATAAAAATATTGGAATCAACGTACACCCTCGAAACGTGTCCCTTGAATGGAAGCAGTGTCAACGTCCCTAGCCCGAAGCCGCTGCACGTCTATACGATTCACCCTACGCAAGTGCGAGAAAACGTGTGTGTCTGGCAGAGTGCGAGGGTAGGTCGTTGAAATACAGGGCAACAGAGTCGCTCCCCACTTGGTCGGGGTATGCGCATCGATCCCCGGAGACGGCAGTCTGGTCCAGAGCGTCGGGACGCTTGTTTCTCTCCTCTGGCGAGCTTCACGGGTCTCGTTATCGTGCACGTTTCTCCGATAACGTTGCAAACACGCTCCGAATCACGCTGGATTTTACCGAATCACTTCTTTCGTGCCATTTCCGGCCGATCGAAAATTCGAAGCATGTGCGACTCCAGACGACACGTGCGCGATCCTCTTCTTGCTTCCGTGCGTGACTCGCCGTGAAAAATAGGAACGGTGACCTAAATTGAGATAACATGTGCACACCCGAGGAGATTAAGGTACGATCGAAGAAGGATTCCGCGATATCGCCGGGTGGACAGTGAAAGGGCGTTCTCGTTTCTTCGTGGAATTCACTGAAGATATCTTGGTTCTAGTCTTTATTTTCTTTTCTCCGCTTTCTCCCTTTTTATCCCGTTTGCGTATGTCGTGTGGTTTCACCAGTGCACGTCTGAAAGCGTTGCGTTGTTCCCCGGAGGGACAACCCTTGTCTGTCGATATCTGAAACGCTGATTCTGCGGTAGAATCTCTGTTCCTGCGTGCAGTGCGCTCTACTGAAATAGAATTTCTCTGATGCCTCGTGAGTGCTGCGCTAATCTAGCAAATTGCCGAGGATACCTTTGGATTATGTGTCACTTGCATTCGAGTGACGTACCATTTTCTTTAACAATCTATCTTCTATTTTAACCACGCTGCAAATTTTATACCTAAAGCTTGATCTAAAATTCTTGCTTTTTAAATAACAATTAATACTCATAACATATCTGTTATGATATGAATATTGCAATAATTTTTCCGGCAGTCTATCAGTTCCGTATTAATATTATGTAGCAATGTATTAAAATAATAAATGCTCAATCATCCAACTATTAAAACAAGGAAATATGTAATAAATATCCTCAGTCTAATCACCAATAATCCACCATAATCGCAAAAATTGATACATGTACCATTGAGAATAAAAAGCATGACGCTCGATCAAGTTGCATCCACTTGACGCGTGTGTCATTCGTACACGTCCCGCTTTTTTACCACGGTTCCCCTCCTCTTTTTCATTCATTCATTCGTGCCATTCATTTACGTGTCATTCACACAAACATACCCTCGCATATATGGTTGTTTTCTATGATAGATGAAACTCGAAATTTGAAAATCGTTCGAGCAACGCAACGTTATCGTTACTCTGTGCTACAGTGGTCTCCCCTTTTCTTTTTTCAAGAAATAACACAAATTTATATTTAGCTCGCGCTCGATCCCGCTATCTTTAGCGTGTAGTTAACAGGTTTCTGAAATCTTAAAGTGTCCACGAGAAACGTGATAATAGCATGAGACTCCTTCTTAATCGTGGTTGTTTCGCAAACATGTGACTCGGTGATAAAACTTGTAATATCTTTAACTCTCGTTTGTAGTGATGTACTTAATGCATGCGTTAAATGTGAGGAGGACGCGTTGTAATTTCGACGCGTTGTACTTTCAAGGCGCTGTAATTTCGACGCGTTGTAATTTCGATGCGCTGTAATTTCCACGCACTATAATTTCTACGCGCCGTAATTCCTACGCGTTGTAATTTTTACGCACTATAATTCCCATGCGTTATAATTTCTACACGCTGTAATACCCACGCGCTGAAATTTCTACGCGTTGTAATTTCTGCGCGATGTAATTTCCACGCGTTGTAATTTCCACACGCTGTACTTCCCACGCGTTGTAATTTCTACGCGCTGTAATTTCTATGCGCCGTAATTCCCACGCGTTGTAATTTTTACGCGCTGAAATTTCTACGCGTTATAATTTCTGCACGATGTAATTTCCACGCGTCGTAATTCCCACGCGTTGTAATTTCTACGCGCTGTAATTTCTATGCGCTGTAATTCCCACGCGTTGTAATTCCCACGCGTTGTAATTTCTACGCGCTGTAATTTCTATGCGCTGTAATTCCCATGCGTTGTAATTTTTACGCGCTGTAATTCCCACGCGCCGTAATTCTCACGCGTTGTAATTTTTACGCGCTGTAATTCCCACGCGTTATAATTTCTACTCGTTGTAATTTCTGCGAGATGTAATTTCGACGCGTTGTAATTTCCACGCGCTGTAATTCCCACGCGTTATAATTCCTACGTTCTGTAATTCCCACGCGTTATAATTTCCACGCGTTGTGATTTCCACGCGTTTTCTCTTAATCGTGGTTGTTTCGCAAACATGTGACTCGGTGATAAAACTTGTAATATCTTTAACTCTCGTTTGTAGTGATGTACTTAATGCATGCGTTAAATGTGAGGAGGACGCGTTGTAATTTCGACGCGTTGTACTTTCAAGGCGCTGTAATTTCGACGCGTTGTAATTTCGATGCGCTGTAATTTCCACGCACTATAATTTCTACGCGCCGTAATTCCTACGCGTTGTAATTTTTACGCACTATAATTCCCATGCGTTATAATTTCTACACGCTGTAATACCCACGCGCTGAAATTTCTACGCGTTGTAATTTCTGCGCGATGTAATTTCCACGCGTTGTAATATCTACGCGCTGTAATTCCCACGCGTTGTAATTTCTACGCGCTGTACTTTTCATGCGTTGTACTTTCGACGCGCTGTACTGTCAACGCACTGTAATCTCAGTACATTACAATTTCGTCGCGCTGTAATCTCAACGCACTATAATCTCAGCACATTACAATTTCGTCGCACTGTAATGTCAACGCATCGTGATCCCCATACAATAGAATCACCAATTCCATCACAACGCACCTAATTACACTATAAATCCCACCAAAGACAACGCCGCAAGAACTAAAACTCAAACTTCCAAATTTGCAATGAAAAGTTAATACAGTTCACAGCAACACAAGTGCATACTTTAATGCAGTTCCAAGTTGGTCGACAAAGTTAAATGCATGCATTAATCAGCAAGAGCCGCAATTTATGAACTTTGAATTTTCTGCAGATTTGCGAGGAAACAATGGCGGAACACAAGGAAAGATTGGCGGAACTTCGTGGCCTGGTTGCACAAATTGCATCCGACGTTGGTTTGGATGCAAGCGGACCATTGCACTGCGAAGTTGAGGCCCTCGGACAACGTCTCGAAGACATCCGTGAAACGCTGTCGTGTCTCGCAGACGCGGCAGACGCTCGTGCCCTCAACCAGGAGTATGCACGTGGCGATTTATGTCAGGCAAAAAATTTCTTGGGCGCCGTCCAACAGGCAAGTATATGTTATACTAAATTGTGTAATCTTTTCGTCGGTTTTATTTTTCGAGACATTCTTTAACCTTCGGGCCCTATGGCTCCCGAGTCAAATTTTTAGGAAACGGGGTCGAACAGAAACTGAAGCAACTATAGTTGTGACGGTTTTAATCATAGATTAGGATCATAGAAATCATTTGTCAACATCTTGATTTTATTTAGTATTGAATTGTTAAATAATTATTTGCTGAGAGTAATTATTATGCGGAATTTTTAACAAGAAGTGTTGAAGTAGGTGATTGTTCAGGGGTTGCATTTTCGTTGCAGTAGCGCGTCACGGTTGTTCCATGTTCAATCGACCTATCGAAAGTTTTCCGGGAAACTCGTAAACCTACCGTTTCATAAATATTTTGACCACGTGTTAGCAATATCGATGAAAAACGTGTTGACACGTGTGCTTAACGCGGTACAGTTAGCACAACCTCGTGTTTATTTCAATTAGCGTCTGACGTTGCTCGAAACATAACTACTCTTCCTCAACCGAGGTCGTTGTTCGACAATCAGAATTCGAGAATCATTTCGATCAGTCAAGATTCAATTTTCTATTCTCAGAAATTCTGATACTGTGACCAGATTGAAGACCGTCGGTAAGCATCCATAACGAGCGATTAATTTAGAATCGATAAATCGCGTAAAACGAGAGTCGTCGCGACGCTCGAGATTCCACGGGGCGGATTTCTGAGAAGGGTTCTAAAGCAGAGAGTTTCGTGTTGAAGAACAGCACATGCTTCGTGTTCTCTTATTCTGGCCTTCGCGGATTCGTCTGGAGTCATGAGATGCCTTTGATCGCGCCTACAAACTTCATCTTTAAAGTCTACTCAAGAATTTAAATTCTAATTCTTTTCATATAAATAATCACCTGATGGTATAGAAACGGGATGAAAAATTTTTGTAAATAAAGTTGCAAATGTGTTATCTTTCGAAGAGTTCATCAAGGTGATTTTCTTAGTTCTTCGGATACATAAGTACGCGTCCGTCAGTTTCCGGCGTGGCTATTGGTGCTTGGCACAAGCTCAATCATTACCTCGCACGCGCGTTTATATTTTAATCGCGTTAGTTCCGAAACAATTTGTTGTGTCAAGGCCGAAGGGCTTGAAAACCGGGGCTGGCAATTACATCGGTCACGAAATCCGCAACAGCTGAATATCCGGCCGTGCACCCGCGCCACTCTTGCCGAAACTTTCGATTGCAACCCCTGTTTCCGATCGAATTTACGACAGCATCGTCCACGATGATTCGCCAGGGTGTCGATAGGAATCCCAAGGTTAACAAGCGAAAAATCGATACTGGTAGATCAAGTACACTCGAGATAAGAGCCTTTCAGATTTTCTCCTTGCTCCTTTCCTTATTTAATTTTTCTTTTGCAGAGTCTAACAGCAGTCAGCCAGGGCGAATCAAAGGAGCAATTGACGCTCCTGCGTAACCACCTCCTAGCGCTGACGTGCACGGAGCCACAGCTGCAATCAATCAAGGAGCGCAGTTTAGAGGTGTCTTCGCAGGAGCCGTCGGTTGTGGAAGTTCTTCAGCTATGGCAGAAGGTCTTCAGGGAAACCTTCCAACAGTATCATCGCCTGTCGGCTCGTCTAGTCAAAACCCAGGATGGCGCGACCGCCCTTAAACTCTGGCAAGAGTACTTATCCCACGTGCAGGATTTCCTATCGAACGACGTTCCCGGTGATTACAACGGTTTGTCGGAGCATAGGAATCTCTGCGAGGTTCATCGGAACCTCCTGACTGATCAACAGAATCTCATACTTACCGTTCGTTCCGAAGAGGGCGGTAATCTGTCGACTACAGAACAGTTCAACATCCTGACGAACCTACACAACGAAACCTTGGCGAAGATCATGGAGAGGCATGCGGCGGTTCGCGACAGATTAGCCGCGTGGGACAGGTACAAAGTTAATCAAAGTAAGCTTCTGTCCTGGTTGAAAGAGGTCGAAAGAGAACGAAGTCAGCTTCACCTTCGATTCATTCATCTACGAAGACTGGACAAGATCCTGCAGAGGATACAGACGTTGCTGGACAAGGTACCGGAAGGCGAAAGTCAGTTGGAGTCCCTGCAGGAGCAGCACGAGTCGCTGCTGATCAATTGCGACGAAGCGTTGGCTGTGTCCATACGCATGGAGCTCGCGGCTGACTCGCAGAGGATAGCTAACTTGAGCGCCAGTCTGGAAACCTGGAGAGATTTCATCCAGAGGATACAGAAACTTCACGGGGAATACGAGGAGCAGACGAAGGAGGTCAGCTCCACGTTCGACGAAATTAGCCAAGCTTTAAGCACGGCGTTCCACGCGAAAGCCGCGAGCCTCTCGAGGACCAACGAACAGCTGGAGTCTATCCGCCAATTGCAGAACAGGCTATCGACCATGAGCACGGATTTAGAATCCCTCGGTGTCATTACCGAGCAGTTGAGGGAGTGTCTGAGTCCGTCCGACATGAAGACCTTGAACCAGCAGCGAACTCTTCTGTGTCAGCAACACGGGGACCTCGAACACCAAGCAGCGTTATTAGTATGCAGGTTAGAAGAGCGTTGCGGCCTCTACGATCGCTGGAAGGACAAGCTGGGTAGACTGTTCACGTGGATAGAGGAGACAGAGACTCGAATACAGAACTACGACGCTATGACCCCGAACGAACCCGGAGAGACGTTGAAGAGACTGGAGTGCGAGTTACAGGCAGAGATCGCTCTGAAACAGAGAGACCTGTCGTGGCTGCAGAACACTGGACAAGATCTGATCGAAGTAGCCGAAGAGAAGGAGAGAGAGACCCTTCAGCGATCTTTAGACGAAGTGAACGAGAGGTGGGATCGGTTGTTAGCCATGGGAAAAGCCAGAGCTACCAAACTGGTCGAGCTGATGAGGACCATGGACACCTTGGAGAGGAGAATCAACGAACTGAGAAGCTGGCTGGCCAGCGTCGAATCTCAACTATCGGAGACCTTCGTGATCGAAAAGATCGATCAGAATTGCATCGATAAGAAGCTCCAAGACCACGAACACGTTCATAAGATCATCGAGGCTGAGAGCGAAAACGTTGGCGAGGTGTTGAAGCTCTGCGAGATCTTGTTGAACGACTGCGACACGTGGAAGGCGTCCTTCAACACGGACACCATCAAGGCTGGCGTGGAAGGTTTAGAGCGAAGATGGACAGCGACCTGCGTGAAGTCTGCGGAAAGAAAGGGCAAGATCATCCTCGCCTGGAAGATACTTCAGGAGCTGGAGAAGATCAGGATAGAACACGAAGACTGGCTCAGGGAGACCGATGCCGTTCTGTCAGATCTGGAGAACAACTTGGACGAAGTTTCGAAAGAGGACTCGAAGAAGGCGATCGAAAGGGCGAAGAACATCCTCGAAGACGTCGAAGGTCACGAGTCCGTGATGAAGATAATCGAACAGAACTTTGGTCGCCTAGCGAGAACCGGCCTAGAGCCCGATAATCTGAAATCACTTATCAGCGGAACCCGGCAGCTTATCGATAAGTGGCAAACGTTGAAACCTAGAGTCAACGCTGTTCTATTGGCGCTTCAACAAGGTCAAAAGAATTATCGCGACTTCATTACGGTGCACGGGGCAGCGGTAGTCGGATTGACGCAAGTCGACGTTCGATTGACGAGAACGCAACACCTGGCCACGCCTGAACAGAAGGCGTCTGTTCGACGAAGACTCCAACAGTTGAACGAGATCGAGGAAGAGCTAAGGACCCAGAACATCACGCTGCAGAAAGCTGACGAGTTGGCGCTGAAGGTTATGCAAGAATGTCATCCGGATGACGTGGCGACGATCCAGGAACTGGTAGACGAATATCAATTGCTATGGAAGGACATCAAGAAGAGGGTAGCCTCGTTGAGGGCGGAAATCGAGGGACAGGAGAAACAGGAAGTTGACGAAGCTGTGCAAGTGGAAACTTTAAAGTTTGAACAGGACACTGCTGTTCAAGTGGACACTTTGCCTAGGTTGTTGAGGATGACTTCGAGTGACGCGTACTTGATGGAACTCGAAGCCGCGTTGGCAGAGTGCAACGATGCGTTGGACACACTGGAAATAGCCGTTACCCCGGATCCTGTTGCTGGACCTGGGCTAAATGCGGCTGCTAGAAATATTGTAAGTGACATGCGTGTAGTGTTCTTGGTATCGGATAGCACAGTGTTGACATAGATGTGAAGTAGCACTTGTGGCATATCAGTTTGAAGCGTGAAGTTTAAGAAAAATGTCTGTGTAAACCGCTTGGTAATATTCTCACTATAAAATGGCGAATTGCCAATTGAAATGAACCACATGAAGCACTAATTTATTTTACGAGTTCAATGTTATTTAATGAGTCAATTATTTGTATGCTATTCTAGGGTATCGACTATTTTGTACTGAGAATATTGATACATCATTTATATAGTAATTTTCTTGTGGCTTTAAGTTTTATACCATAAGTGCTACTCTGTGATATTTTTGTCATCTGACTTTCTATGTTTAGAATTTGCCACGCAATAGGCTATTAAAATTCAAATTTCTTCGTACTCTAAAATCTGATGTCCTCCTTCACAGAGTAAATTGATCGGAAGTTGTCAATCATCGATCGAACTGGTTCGTCATTTGCATAGTTTGCTCATTGAAGACGGGAAATTGAGTGCTCAGGTTGCCAAAGCTGACGAGGTTACAGCGCTGACGAACAGATACGAGAATCTCTTGATACTGGCAAGAACGCGTGAACAACAAATTAGAGAACTCAGGTAAATGTTTATGTTAAATTATAATTGTTTATTTAATACCGTAAGACGCTTGATTAACATTAACCCAGCCAACGTTAAACGATGACTTTTTCATACACAGGTCGTCTATCAGCGACGTTTACACCTCCCCCTGTGATCAGTGAGTGTTCCCCTTTCGCACTAACAATTTCTCATTAACACTCATTAACGTTCGTTCATTTCGTGCCTGCTTTTCTCGACTCGTTTCGCACCAACAAAATGTACAATATTTTGACAATGGAGGATATTCTTGCAATGGAGAGTAGATTCTTTTACTTTTTATATTTGTTTAGTACTCAGAGATCAAATTTAAAAAATATTAAATTCTCAAATTCTAAAAATTTCTAAATTTCAGTCTCAAAATTTCACAAACACTCAAAACCTCATCTCACTCCCAAATTCCCAATCTGAAATTCTCAGTGTCTCAAGTGTTCCAATCTTCGAAACTTGACATTTAAGACCTTATTACTCTTCCCAGTTTGCACGTAGACTCATATCTCGTTATCGGCCATACAAGTATGAACTACCGTAACATATTAAAATTTTTCTCTTCCAGCGATAACGGAAGACTGACCTGCCCATTATGCTCGCGCCGCAATTGGGCTCAACTAGAGAACGATCTTTGGAGATTAGAAAAGTGGTTGGAGTTCGCCGAAGGCACTCAAAGTGAACAACATTCGCCACCGAGCAGCATAGAACAATTGGAGGACGTGATTCAAGACCATCGTGAATTTCTGCTCGATCTCGACTGCCATAAGAGCATCCTCGTCAGCCTGAACACAGTGGGTGCTCATTTAGCCGACCACATAGAGGAATTATGTCGAGCCACACAGCTCAGAGACAGATTGACCGTCGCGAACACGAGATGGGACAAAGTGTGCACGCTCGCTTCCCGTTGGCAGGAACAGCTGCGAGTTGCGCTGATGTCGAACCAACAGTTTCATCGCATCGTCGAGGAGCTGCTCGCGTGGCTGGAGAAAACGGAAATCAGTATAAGGGCCAGTGAACCCGTTGATCTCACGGAATCGACCGAAATTATGACCGCCAAGTACAATAAGTTCAGGTAAAGGGATTTTTGGAATTTGGAGGTTTCAGAAATTGGGGAGATGGGAATTTGGAAGTTTGAGAAATTGGGGAGATGGGAATTTGGGGGTTTGGAGGTGGAAGTTTGAGAAATTGGGGAGATGGGAATTCGGGAGTTTTGGAATTTGGAAAGATTAGAATTTGAGGGTTTGGAAGGTGAACGCTTTAGAAATTTGAGAGATGGGAATTCGAGACTTTTGGAATTCGCAAAGTTCAGAATTTAGGGTGTTAGATGTGGACATTTGACAAATTATGAATACAGAAATGGAAGTTTGAGAAATTGGGGAGATGGGAATTTGGGGGTTTGGAGGTGGACGCTTGAGAAATTGGGGAGATGGAAATTAGGGACTTTCGGAATTTGCAAAGCTGAGAATTTGGGGTTTTGGAAGGTGGACGTTTGAGAAATTGGGGAGATGGGAATTAGGGACTTTTGGAATTTGGAGAGTGGAGAATTTGGGAGTTTGGAAGGTGGACGTTTCAAAAATTGGGGAGATGGGAATTCGGGACTTTTGGAATTTGCAAAGCTGAGAATTTGGGGTTTTGGAAGGTGGACGTTTGAGAAATTGGGGAGATGGGAATTCGGGAGTTTTGGAATTTGCAAAGCTGAGAATTTGAGGGTTTGGAAGGTGAACGCTTTAGAAATTTGAGAGATGGGAATTCGAGACTTTTGGAATTCGCAAAGTTCAGAATTTAGGGTGTTAGATGTGGACATTTGACAAATTATGAATACAGAAATACAATTCAGAAATGTACAGACTTAGATATTTGAGACAATAACATAGAGATATAATGACTAAAAATTTGAACGACAAGAAATTAATGAAACTAATATTTTTCAGGGAGCTAAGAAGTGACCTAGAACGATGTGAACCCCGAGTTTTGTCTCTCCAAGAGTCAGCGAATCAGTTGTTGGACGAGAAAGGCGAAACCAGAGCACGCCTACAGGAGCTCCGACTCAGGTTGCAGTCTTTACGACGACTGACAGGGATATACGCTTTAAAATTAGGGGCAGCGTTGGGAATGGACCCTCGAGACGTTGGACTTGCCGCCACTACGTCCTCCCTCGCTTCCCTTTCTCAAGACGTAAGCTACATTCTAAACTGCTCCTTATCGATGGAAAACTCGAGACTTCGCTAAAATTGTCGATTTTATTTCGTAAGATGCGGAACGATAGTTTTTAGGAAAAATTTGCAGGGAACGTCAGTGCTCTGTGGATGGTCTCCCTTGGTAAATTAGTTATCAGTTCAGATTTATGCACTTACGTCGTAGGATCACTTTAATCGATATTTAATTATCTTGAGGCATGGGTTGTAAAATCTGACAAAATTTATGCCAAAAACGAAGCACTCTGCATTCAATTTTTAGGGGTGGGTTTTCAAATTTGGATCACCTATGTACTTTTAAGTTTAATTAGATCACTAGATATTTTGTGGAAGACTCTTTGATCCTACTTTGCTCACCACAGACTCTATATTGTTTATAGTTAGACCAACCCTCCCTTATTGATGAACATTCTGTTTGCATAAAAATTTTTTATCGTCGGTATTTTATTAACCCATGCCTTTTATTATCAGTAGCATTCACACGCACAGTACCTTATTGTTTGTGTTTTCTCTTTTACTGTATTGTAGCTGCTCGACGAAGCTGCCTCTGGATCCGTTCAACCCCGCGACGCATCCGGCACAGAGTATGTTCTTTTACGTTTTTCATTTCTGAACAATCTTGCAATATAATAAACATACAATATTGGAGAAAAATCTTGAAAAACTGACTCCATTTTTATATCTACAGTTCTTAAAATAAACGTAGACATTTGTGGACACAAACAATTATTATGATCCACAATTCTATTGATCTACATAATGTTAACAGTTCTAATACTACATAGTTATAAGGATTAAAATTATTTATCCTTTTAAGAGATCAATGTTCCTAAAGTCTTCCTAAGAGATTAATCACTGTCCACGTTTATTTTGGAGAAACAGTACAATCTGAAAATGGATTTTTAATGATAAGAATCATACGAAACTACTTGTACCTGTTTCAGTGGTGACGATGGCCAACAAACGGTATTGTCTCGAGGATACCGTTTCCTGGGCCGAGTGTTGAGGGTCTCCTTACCGATCCAAGCTGTCATGCTACTGGTCCTTGGCGTCGCCTCCCTGGTCCCATCAGCCGAAGAAGACTACAGTTGTATGCTGTCGAACAACCTCGCCAGAAGTTTCACTCCGATGGTCGTTTACCCGAACGGACCGCCGCCGATTTAACATTAAAAGGACACCATTTAAAACGCACCAACTTCGCCGGTCCTCGAAGAACTTTCAGTCGAAACATTCAGAAAAATCGCGGCAAACGGAAACGTCATCTGCGTAGCTACTTAACTAGCCTGTCGTGCGATGTACCATTTCCATCATGTTATAGATGAAGACTCAATGGATCTCCCATGAGATCATCGAGACGATCGAAACGCATTTCGATCGCCTCGAGGATCGTACATTTTGGCCAAGACGATTTTTACACGTGTGATATAACGTTTCTAGTTGTGTATAACGTTATGGACCAAGAGAAAAACGATTGTACGGCTCCGTTTCGCTTATTTATACGTAATTGTGATCTTCGTGCAATACGTTCTTGTGCAATCTCTTCCGGAGGGAATGCACGAGAATAATTACGACCACTCGAACGATTTAACACGGTTATCGACGAATTTGTTTCGATCTATTGAAAACTCCCTTCCCACGACATTCCATGTAACATTACCGCGTTTCTATTTATACGAACACATATTAACACATTGTAGATATCGTTCCTTTGATACGACTATTGATTTTTCACTTTTTCTTTCTCCTTCGAGGTTTAGGTTTCGTTTGTACAGAGAACGTGAGAGAGCGAGAGAAAGAGAAAAAGCGAGAAAGTATTAATGTCACATGGAATGCGCGAAACGTGTTATTAAATTATTAGAAACGATTTATTATTAACGAATCGCTTTACGTGCACACACAGAACACAACCGCGAAACTTGTTACGAGAGAAGAACGATATTATATGTACTCGAGTTTCGCGTTTTACGGCTAGTACGTAAACGAGAGATTAATATAACCTTGTTCCGACTTTATTTTTTATACGTTGCGTTTATAAATCGAGAATAGAGAAGCGGTTCGATATAAAAAGAATAATGGAGAACGAAACGTCCACTGACCGATTCCCTCGGCATCGCCGAGTAATCGCGACAGTCATTGGTGCTAGTTCGATGGATAGAAAGAAAACACGATAATATATAAATTATAGGATTCATCTTTTCCGTTGTTTTTTTAACACGTAATTGAAGGTGAACGATTAAAAAGACATCGCATAATGAGTCGCATAATAATAAACGAAGTTACCGTTGCCTGATGAAGATGTTTTACTCGCGAGAACGATAATTACAGGATACGCACAAATGGATCACGAATTCTATTCGAGGTACAAACAAAAGAAATAAACGAACCGACTGTATTTAACGGCCCCGCTAGAATTTCGCTTCCTAATTTAAAAATGGTATCTTGCTTGCTACGCGACCGAGCTTTGTTATGTATTTTTGTAAGGACAGAGCTTTCCGAAGACGGTGTACATCTGTCGATGTAATATAATTACAATAAATTGAGACCTATACGAAAGTTGTCTGATTTATCACTGAAACCTGTTTGCATTCACACCTGCTTATTAATCTAATCGTTCTTAACTACAGACTTGAATAGTAGTTTAAAAGCAATGTGTAGGTGTTAGGTTAGGTTAGCGCATTAGAAATCAACCCCTCGCGTGATATTTTCAGATATATTCTTTAACCTTTAAGAAAACCTGAAGGAACATAAAAAAATTCAGATATTAATAGAATATATTCTACTTGTTTTAAATAATCTTGCAAATGTTATATGCTTCAGACAGTCTTAATGATATTCTATTTTCTCTAAATCATTTACGATACGTTTGTTATAACATCAAATAAAACGTCAGATAAAATTAACATTGATCGGGTCCGAAATACCCCAGACTTTGAAAAAATAATTTTCAGGCGTCCTGTTCTCCACGAATAAACACATTATGATTATTAACTCCCTGGTGTTTCAGAATTGCTAGCACGAAATGAAACTCACAGAGGTAAAATAAAAATTAAATTAATTAGTACTATGGAAGTGGGTACGAGAATTGAAAACATTTACAATGTTAGAAACTGCATTTACCTGGAAAACAAAGTAATATGATGTATACAATAAACAATTATTGACGCTTTAGTTATCGCCTGGTATTATTAAAATTCGTTTCTAAGTGGAAGAACAAATGTGCAGATATTACAGTTTGAGCAAACGTCGCTGCTCAAAACATGAAGCATGAGAAGATGCAATTATAACAATTGAGATATTTGTTATAATTGACACCGGTCAAAATAAAAAAATTCGAAGATTGATAAAACTATTATAAAAAGATAACTGAAAGGGTAGAAAAATAAATAAAATTGCATTAACACGCAAATTACAGGGTAAAACTACCTGACTAACATTTATTATTATCTCATTCTATGAATCATATTACACATGCAATTATGATAATAATCAACGAGTTAACACTTCCCTTTAATTTCCCTCAGGATTCATTCTACTCTGCACCGATATTTTTCCCCATTTTAAAAAATTGTCTACAAAATCACTTGATGCAATCCCAGATGCATTCTTCTTTCAAACGGAAAGTTTCTCAAGGTAAAATCTTCCATCATTCCAAGAATCCGCGACGTAGTCGATCAGACTCTTAGCGTCGCGATCATAGAGTACGTTTATCAGCTATTTCGTTTAATAAGATTCGATTAACGGGCTGATATAAACAGACTGATATGAACATTTGTGGCTGACTAATTAAAGTACAAATTAAATGCATATGAGACTATTATTATCTCTAAGCTTCTAAGCGCTTGACTTTAAATCTCTAGATGCATACATATTTATCGTCTGCAAGAATTTCAACGCGTGATAATTCGGTGCATGGTAATTCGACGCTTGATGATTCCACGCGTGATAATTCAACGCTTAGTAATTCCACGCGTGGTAATTCAACGCTTGGTAATTTCACGCGTAGTAATTCAAGGCTTGGTAATTCCACGCGTTGTAATTCAACGCTTGGTAATTCCACACGTGGTAATTCAAGGCTTGGTAATTCCACGCGTGGTAATTCTACGCTAGATAATTCTACGCGTGGTAATTCAAGGCTTTATAGTTCTACGCGTGGTAATTCTACGCTAGATAATTCTACGCGTGGTAATTCAAGGCTTGGTAATTCCACGCGTGGTAATTCTACGCTAGATAATTCTACGCGTGGTAATTCAACGCTTTATAATTCTACGCGTGGTAATTCTAAGCATGGTAATTCAACGCTTTATAGTTCTACGCGTGGTAATTCTACGCTAGATAATTCTACGCATGGTAATTCAACGCGCGGTAATTCTACGCGTGGCAATTCTACGCGTAGCAATTCCACGCATGGTAACTCGGCGCGTGGTAACTCGACGCGTGGTAATTCTACGCGTGGTAATTCGACGCGTGGTAATTCGACGCGTGGTAATTTGGCGCTTGGTAACTCGACGCGTGGTAATTCGATACATAGTGGTTCGGTGCATGGTAATTCGATACGTAGAGATTCGGCGCGTGATAACTCGATGCGTGGTAATTCGACGCGTGGAAATTCAACGCGTGGTAATTCAACGCGTGATAATTCGGCGCGTGGTAATTCCACGCACTGTATTCCACGCGAATGAAACCCAAATGAAAACGAATTAAAAATTAGACTTCAGTGTTAATTTACAGTATCTCCTTGTTTCCGCTATTTCTAATTTGCATGTAAATACAGGAATTGACAGACCTGTCACTATTAATAACACAGCTTCGAAGGTTTTCATTTTCCTGATAATTCGACTTACCGTAAGCAGGATTGCATAAAAAAAACCTGATCCACGTGTTTGTCTGAGAGCGCAAGATAGGCACGCGTCGATTTAAATCGAATCCCGCACATGTCTATCCTGGATCAAATCCTGCGGAGTTTATTAGCAGCTGCATGCAAGGTATAGTCAACGAAAGAAAAATTATTGTAAAAACGTAACATATGTTTGCGCAAGCGCCTCGTTCACACCATGTCCAGTGATAACGAAAGGTATACTAGTGTTGTAAAGACATTAGTTCGGCTAAGAGGATTTTTCATTCGATAATGAGAATCGAATACAGATCTGGCTGTTAGAACGTCACGTTGTTTAAGTTTCGTTTCTTAAGTCGCGACGGTAACATGTCGGATTCGAACAGACAAACCAAAAGTTTGAACGATATTCCAGCGGTTTTTAAAAAAAGGGAGATTGATAATGGCAAGTTGGAACTTTCGAATGTTTCTTTGGGAAACGTGGCGGGTACCCGTCATTCGGAGGATGGAAATTTCATTTCCAATGAAAGCAAATTACTTCAAATTCTAAAATGTAGCAAAGAAGAGGAAGAATTGAAAGTGTCCACTATTTGTATCGACGGAAGATTCGATAACAATTCGAAGGTAATTGGTTCTAAGTTTATGTCATCTGTTTCCTTCTTGTTGTTGCCAAAGTTTCTTCTCGGTTAGACCGATCATTTCGATCCATCGAAATTCGTGAACAAGCTCGATGATGAGAATACGACGGAGAAATGTCATTCAGAGAGGAAATTAAAGAAGAAGAAGAAAGTTCTAGCTTTCATCGATTCTCTTCTTGCGTTGGTTCTGATCGCTCCACTCACAATTGGATTTTGGAGAGGGGTGTGGACGTTGATGGATATTCACGCGAACATGTGAGTCGTTGACTACACTAGACACTCGTTATATTGCCAATACTGTCACGCGTTAAATCACGTGTTGAATTACCATTGCCACTGAATTTTTATGCATTGAACTGCTTACGTGTTGAATTTCCACGCGTAGAATTTCTCACGCGTTAAATTTCTCATGCGTTGAGTTTCCAAGCGCCGTAATTCCACGCGCCGTACTTCCACGCGCCGTATTTCCACGCGTTGAATTTCCATGCCCCGAATTTCCACGCGTTAAATTTCTCATGCGTTGAGTTTCCAAGCGCTGTAATCCCCCGCGCCGTACTTCCACGCGCCGTATTTCCACGCGTTGAATTTCCATGCCCCGAATTTCCACGCGTTAAATTTCTCATGCGTTGAGTTTCCAAGCGCTGTAATCCCACGCGCCGTATTTCCACGCGTTGAATTTCCACGCCCCGAATTTCCACGCGTAGAATTTCTCACGCATTGAGTTTCCAAGCGCCGTAATTCCACGCGCCGTACTTCCACGTGCCGTACTTCCACGCGCCGTATTTCCACGCGTTGAATTTCCACGCCCCGTATTTCCACGCTTTGAATTTCCACGCACCGAATTTCCACGCGTAGAATTTCTCATGCGTTGAGTTTCCAAGCGCCGTAATTCCACGCGCCGTACTTCCACGTGCCGTATTTCCACACGCTGTATTTCCACGCGTTGAATTTCCACGCCCCGTATTTCCACGCACCGAATTTCCACACGTAGAATTTCTCACGCGTTAAATTTCTCATGCGTTGAGTTTCTAAGCGCCGTAATTCCACGCGCCGTACTTCCACGCGCCGTATTTCCACGCGCTGTATTTTCACGCGTTGAATTTCCACGCCCCGAATTTCCACATGTTGAATTTCTCACGCGTTAAATTTCCTACGCCTCGAATTTCTCACAAGTTGCACTCCTCACACATTAAATTTCCACACACCGAGCTTTCACGTGTCAAATTCCCCAAATTGAATCGCATAATGAATTTCCGAACGTGAAACTTCTGTTGTGCTGTATACTATTATATATTAACGCAACGTGTATAGTAGATAAAAGATAACTGTTAATAGCTCAATTAAACTTATGTTCGTTTTAAAATTATCGCGTTAACAGCGCTATTTATGCGCATTTTTCACATACTTTTAAATGTAAACGTCTGTAATAAATAACAAGCGGAATTACTGTATTAAATCATTTTATCTTGTGCTTTAAGGTTTCCTGGAACGTTAACATTCTTATTGGGTATTTTAATTCACACAATTTTCGCGATTTTTAAAAATGTGTTGCATGCACGTGCAACTCGCGCATGGAACAAGAAGACAGTGTTGAACAAATTAGTCTGCAGAATAACGCAGATTGTGTACACGTACATCTTTGGTGTTGCTTGTAATATGCAATGGAGAGGTGGATGGATAATTTTGGATCGCTTTCTCATCGGTAGTTTTTGGTAAGATTAATTCTTTGTTTTCTATTTTTTTACACATCCCTCTCGTTTTTCGTGCAATCGAAAAGACTTACGCTGGCCACTTGATTCGACGTACTTACTACTTATTAAGTGATTCAAATTCGCATAAATCGCTCATCCCTGTAGGCATGGCAACCAGGTTTACATTCGAAGACGAACATGCTTCAGGAACTCCACAGAAACACGTCACAAAAATAATTACTAAAAAATTGAAAATTTTAAGTTAAATAACAAATAATTTGTTCTTTCTCCTAATTCTTTCAAATATAATAGTTGTGATATCGTTTAAGAAATATATAATTCTCTCCATACAACGATTGAGTAATGCACAAAGTGGTGAAAACGAGGGATTACAATTTGCATATTCTCTTAGACTTTTAATTTTCTACAGGAGAATAGTGGGCACATTACTGGTGATTCTTGCGGTGCTGATAGTTTTGCGATCCATTCGAAATCTGATCGCGATTCCACCGGTGTTACTTGTGGACAAACTCAGCTACGTCTTCCGGTTCCCCACAAGATATCAGTCGGTAAGTTTTTATTCTACCATAAAGTTCGTTTTGGTAAAGAATTATTTACTCAAATGATTTTTATGTAATAATATAATTTTTGATGTACAATTCAGTTGCATTACAAGAATGCTTACTTTCTTATTTTTCTATATACATTTTGATAATGGGAGAGACATCGTTTCCCTTTTAAGTGCTTTCGTAAAAAGACAAACTGAGATACTTGTTCTTACAAAAGACCCTGAATTTCATCACTGTTTAACAATGTTTCGCAAAAACTTTATAGAATTCATGTTGCGAATATTGATAAGGTAAACTGTACCTATTTTACCACATTTCATATACTTTCTACAACAAATGATCCATTAACAATTAATTAAATTAACTGATAATGTACCTATATATTTTCATTACAATCTCCTGAACAATACTTTTGTAACAATTAAAACACCCATTTATTAAAGATTACCCAAAAAGTAGACTTTTATGCTTTTAATCTTTTCTTAAACAAATGTATCAGAAAATAATGCAACCATTAAGAAGAAAACAAATTGCAATCTTTCCGCAAACACGATTGCGAAGAATACACATAGCAAGATATCTTGAACAGAAATTTAATTGAATTACATATATTTGATAATCTACGATGGTTAAAAGGATGTCGCAACGTCATCGTGCAAACGTTACCTATAACTGTGTATCACTGAAAACAAAAAATGATTAACTCCGTCAACTTTGTAGTAAACTTTATAGTACAACCTGATACGGCGAAAGAAACGTATCGAGCAATAACAGTTATCGTTGTCTTTATCGTACTTGTCGCGTTATTTGCGTGTAGTTCATTGAAGACCGTGAATCATAAAAATTTTATATGCTCCTACAATGTTTGCAAAGTGCGGGGATTTTACAAAACGAAAGCTTCGAAATTACCATCCACTCTTGATCTAAGACTCTTTCGATCTAAACTAAGACACTTAATAATTAACGATAAGTATATTTACTAACTGATATTCTATAACGTGCAAACAATAATTGCGTATAAAGAAGTGGAATTTATCGCCACATATACGATTAATTCTACGCTTGGTAATTCCACGCGTGGTAATTCTACGTGTGGTAATTCTACGCGTGGTAATTCTACGCTTGGTAATTCCACGCTAGACAATTCTACACGTGGTAATTCAACGCGTGGTAATTCTACGTGTGGTAATTCTACGCGTGGTAATTCTACGCTTGGTAATTCCACGCTAGACAATTCTACACGTGGTAATTCAACGTTTGGTAATTCCACGCGTGGTAATTCTACGCGTGGCAATTCTACGCGTGGTAATTCTACGCTTGGTAATTCTACGCGTGGTAATTCTACGCTTGGTT